TCCTGTCGGGCCGACACAGCGGCACGTGCAAGTCGACACCGTCGCTCCTCCGGTGCGCCGTCACCGTGGTGACGCCCGGTGACGGGTGACGTCACTGGGCGTCATCCGTCAGCGGGCGGCACGACCGCGGTCTGTTTGTGCCGGCTCCGGTTTCACGGCTTCCTTCCGGCCGCGCCGCCTGGCGGCGACCTCCGAAACTGTGAGTGACCTCGGCTGTCACAGCGGCGACTGAGGTGTGCCACGTGTGTCTTGGCTCCCAGCGCGCGGGCTTTGGGAGTCCGTATTTTTTGGTGAGGATTCCTGGAATGCGTCAGGCATGGGGTGTCGTGTTACCACGGTGTGAGTGTTATGTTGATGGTTCTTTCGCGAGTTTGTCGCCTCAAGAAATCATTAGCACTTAGCACGGGGCATTTCTCGGAGACATTTATCATCTAATTGCCAAATAAATGTATTTACACATGACATCATATCTACCGTCCATTTATTTTTATGACGGCACTTATCGTTCGCAAACGCTTCATATATCATTTTACTCTCCTCGGTAGCCAAGTGCAGGAAGAACTCCACACGGGACAGATAAAATCAGCATTGCCCATCCTCCTATAATCACAATGCACTCAGTGCATTGTGATCATGATACAGTGACGCTAACTTCCTCTGCACAGGAAGTTAGGGTAATTCGCCGGATACAGTGCGGGCCTGCATCCTGCAAAACAGAGCCCACTGTGCCCTCGACCCGCCCCTCTATCATGACGGCTATCAGAGACCACCCCATCCCGGCCCGACCCAGCCTGCCGGCAGGGCAGGCGGGGCTGAGCCCGCCAGAGCAAAACTGAATTATTGAATACCATGAAATACGAACTAGGGGATATTCACTGCGAGAGAGAGAGAGAGCCGAATCCCATCTAGATTTCTTGGATAGTAAAAAATACTGTGATAAAACTCTGAAAACAACATAACAAATTCAGCGAAACGACCAAGAATGACACCGTTATTGCATCCTACCAGATTAAACATTTCCCGTTTCGCTTCTTTTCATATGGCTTTTGCTCGAGTTCTCACTTTCCCCGCTCGCTATTTCAACAATCTGGTCATTTTGTGCCGGATCTAGTGGAGGCGAAACAGACAGGATCGCAGTAACGAGCTCATTGTTCCATATCACCGAGATGCTTTGTCGCCATCTAGAGTCTGGTTCAAAGGCGATGTGCCGCCACCGCTTGAGAGTCATGTGAAGGGACAGTGGCCAGTGGGATATGCTTTGGGAAACAAAGCTGCAAATTGAACGCGTCGAGAAGCCGTTTGTGGCAACTCGCGTTCTGGACTTTGTTGGATAGAAGTTCTGGTGGTTTCAATAAACTTTTCAGACAGATATTTCGCCCTTATAGAATAGAAGAAGAAGATAAAGAATAGATTACAGATATTGATATAGAAGAAGCCACAATGGCGAAATATCAGTCTCTTTATATATATTTTGTTTTTTCGTCATTTTTCCATTAAGTATGAGCAAAGGCTATTTCATCATCACTACAACTATAATACTAACAATGCTCATCACAGCCATCAACCATATATGTTCTCAAAACTTTTCAGACAGGTAGAAAAATGTGCATGTTTTTAACCCGCGCCGGGCCAGGGGGTGTTTGAACACTCCCCCTGCGGTTTTTCGTAGATATCTCCAAAACGGCAGCGCGCCGCGCGGAGCGCCGCCGTTTTTGGCACACCTGTTCGTGCATCTTTTCCGCACATGTTGTGAAAATTTCAGACCCAGGTCGCCTAAGGTTAGGTCACCAGGTCACGCCAAGTGACCTCACCTCAGAAAAATAAGAATGCTCGTCATAGCTACACCGACTGAACGATTGCCTTGAAACTATCAGAGATTAATGAGAGTAACATTATCTATAAAATGTATATCTCGGAATTCTGATATCGGTGACCTAAGGTCAGGTCAATTTTGCGGCCTCTCCATTATAAGTCAACAGGAGAAAATTGAAAAGCGTCTGTTTTGCACGAACGCTATTCTAGACGCACTCAAACATCGAGATGTAGGTAAAATTGACACACTGAACCGGAAAATGGCAACTGTGACCCCTCGTTATGTCCCCGAGGTTAATATCACTCATTTCAGGGTTGAAGGTTATAAACCGGAAAGTTTATTGCTGAAAACACTAGGATAACCAGACATCGATTCACATCAATCAGTATGTACATTGTACATGTAAGCTTATGCAAAGATACACGGACCACCATGCATCACGGACTATTCGTGAGTTCCAGGTAGCTCTCCATTGATTGAATGGGCAGACGTTAACAGCGGTGCAGCCATAGCTCACCAGCTCCTTATAGGGCGCCCCAGGGAGGCCCTCCCGTGAGAAGGGGCTGTGCTGGTTTCAAAGGATCCTGAGGCAGTCAGTAAATCGAGGCGTTTATCCATTGCTTGGAATCATCTGGAAAATGAAAACAGATTAACTGAGCGAACGCTTCATCGTGGAGCTCAACAGCACATATTTCAACAGGGGTACTACACTACGTACACTACGCCTCCCTATACACGCCGAGACTTAATTACCCTGTGACGTTACGGTCAATATTCACATTCATATTTATTTAAGATTATGATAAATGCCTTCGCTCATGAGTCCCCAAGGACGGAAACATCATTTGTCTTGCGTATGTGTTGTATCTATGAGATGGCGGAAGCTGCCACGTAAATTTGATGAGAAATGCCACTTTTGATTAGTGTCGTTTGTCATTTCCGTCGAAAATATTATCTCCAGTTCCATCCGACTAAGCTTTGAAGGTAGTGTGCCAGCTTTCCTGGACCGTATGGAGTTAATGGCCCAGATAAGGAGAACCGGATTTTTAGAACTTATCCATACCTTCAAAACTCATGGAAACGTCTTAAATTCTTCAAATTTTGAGTACCCCAGTGCGAAATTCGCCCCGACGGGTTGTCGGTCGTACCCCAACCACATTTCACACCACCATGAACAATAAATGCACACACTGAAATCGCTATTACCGATATGCTCATCCAATCAAGTTTCGATAAACCCGTTCATCATCATCTCCTGCGGTTTCGAACACGCCTGTTAGGTGGTGCGGTAGACCGCGCCCAAAGCCAGGGCCCCGGTAACGTGAGGTAGCCGAGTCGGGGAAGCGTGCGCTGACCCAAGCCGGGGCCGCGCGTCCTCCCGGTGTCATGTGATAGCCCGGGGCTGCCCGCGGGGATGCGGTAGACCGCGCCCAAAGCTGCGGCCCCGGCTTGGGTCAGCGCACGCTGCCCCGACTCGGCTACCTCACGTTACCTGGCTTTGGGCGCGGCTCCTGCTCATACTTTGTGGTGCGGTGGTGGTGCGTCGGGCCGCGCGCTCTGACTTCGGCCAAGAAAAATGCGTCAGCTGATCATTGTCATTTCTGCCACTTGCGTGTGGTGAAATGGGGTCATAACTTAAGAGACGGCTTTTTCATATCAATTATTTTACATAAAATCATATCTCAAACCATAAATAATGTTCGACAACCAAATAAAAGAAACAATACCAATACAGGCTTACAGTTTAAATTCGACATTGTGTTATCTACGATTAGACAGCTGATAACTCATTCCCGTACGTCGTAACTCTATAATGACCTTTGCTTATTGTCACATGTGCGCCGCATTCGCGATTGTTGCCGACGCCTGTTTGCAGGTGAGCCCACTACAGTTGTTATACATATCGAAAACCGATAAACTTTTAGGCGAAAAAGGCACTATTCCAGGCCCATTTTTGATTTTTTTTTGCGATATTAGGTAAAAACAGAAGCTTCTTATCCTAGGAAAAATAAAATGGGAAATCTTTCAAAGGTGGCACACTACCTTTGAGCTGCTTCGCGACGGGATGGTATATTTCTGTGCGAAACCCACCCTTCCAACACCCTCTAATCTTGACCCCAGCGCTCCCCACTCTACGGCCCATCGAACACCATTAGCCATCGAAATCCGACCAGAAGCAAGCAGCGATCACCAACACTGGGGAGCCAGGGATGCGGAGCCGTGGAAATTTCAGACGGCTCCGGCTCCGGCTCCGGCTCCGGAGAAAAAAATCGGCTCCGGCTCCGGCTCCGGCTCCGAGTGAAATGTTATGGTGGCTCCGGCTCCGGCTCCGGCTCCGAGTAAAATGATCCGGCTCCGGCGGCTCCGGCTCCGACTCAGTACATCCCCTATGCAATCAATTAAATACGAGTGGAAGAAAAATTGGATTGGTTATGCCCGTTACTCTTTGCCATGACCGGCTCATCGCGTCCCCGCGCAAACGCACCTCGGAGAGAACTGGCAGAACAAAGGACTAGGAAGCGATGGCATTGGAAACGCAGTCGCCGAGAATCGGAGTTCACTGAACCATCGTAAGCTGACACCCGTCTCGGCTGCATTGGGGGTGGGGGTGGGGGTGGGGTGGGGTGGGAAGAGACGGTGCTGGGAGTCGCAGTCCACTGCACTGGCTTGAAAACAATGGCCGTCACCTGATGACCGGTCCTCATGTTCTGGGGATGCAGTAGACGTGGGGGGGGGGGGGGAGGAGCAGACAGGAAGTTGATTGCGTACTGTGGGATACTGGGGATATTCGGCTTTTTTCATTCACTTGATGGCCCATGACGTAAGTACCATATGTTTTACTGCCTTGTACTGTCAAACCGAACTAAGTCAATTATTTTTTTTCCTCTTCAAAAAATAAAAAGGAGCCGGAGTCGCCCCCTTTTTTGGCGGCTCCGGCTCCGGCTCCGGCTCCGGGCTATATTGTTTCACGGCTCCGGCTCTGGCTCCGGCTCCGGGCAAAATATGCCGGCTCCGGCGGCTCCGGCTCCGACTCCGGCTCCGGCTCCGCATCCCTGCTGGGGACGGCTCCCTGTTCGTAATTTCACCCACGGTCCCAGCTCTCCCAGCGGCAACCCTTCCCTCGACATCTCCCCAGTCCCCTTCCACCCCCGTCACTCGCTCCGTCGGACACCAGGGCAGCGCAGACATACCCTCCCGCGGAGTCACCTCTCCGTCGCGCGCGCAGCCATCTCCGCCGCCGCCGACGCGACGACCGATCCCGGCCGGCCGCTCAGTCTCCGAGTGGCTCCGGCGAGGGTAGGGTGTGCGACGCTCCGCGCGCGGTGAGACCGAGCGCCGGCTGAACGGACGGAGAGCGCTGACTGTTGTTTGTTCGCACCGACTCCGCAGCGCACAATGGACGCCGATTTTATTTGCGCGCTCCGGAATGCGTGTGCGTGAATCGGCGGGCGACGGAGAGCTGAGATAGTACGGGATCGACGGAGGACGAGCGTCAAAGAGGAGCGGGATCAGCTGAAAGGTCAGTCTGCCCGGGAGGCAGGACGGGGCCGCCGAGTGACCGATCGGTACCCCGTTGTTGTGCTGATCACAGAGTTTCAGGGGGCCGCGGCCGAACCGGGGCGGCTCACTTCTCTCTCGGCTGGAGGTGCGATTTGTTATCGTCTCCGAAATTGCGCTTACGTCGCGGTATTTGTCATGGCACGGTGTGTGTTTGATCTGCTCTGGCTGGAAAAACGCACTTTGCATGTGACAACATGAGGCGCTGGCAAGTGTTCTAACAGAAGACGAACTTGTGCTCTGCTGGAAATTTATCAAAGAACGTCAGGAGATGGCGCTCTATCCCACCATGCAGTCTCCTCGTCACTCGCATTGAAATATCACCGTCGTTGCATCGCCGATGACTTTAATATGTCAGCAGCGCATAACTGAATTATAGCCTTCTCTCTAACCACCTCATAAACTCCAAGACACTTTACCGCACGCAAATAGCCCGGTGTTTTGCCGGGCCCTGCGGATAAGACCAGAGCACGCCTGATTATAGCCCCTGGCCGTGCTTATCCATCATTGGCGTAGTTGACCGGTGAACACGAAACCAACACGCGAGAGGAACTAGTCCACGCCTTGGGTAAGATTTCAACTGGCGCTGAATCTGAGCCCGGCATCGTTTCCTCATCAAGATCAGACGTCCGTCGGGTCCTCTCCTTCTCTCTCTGGGGTGTCCTTTAGGTGCGGATTTTAGCGGCGCCCACTGCGGGTTCCATTCGTCGTCGGGGGAGGGGAAAGGGGACTCCATTCAGTCGCCTTTGAGGCCGACTGGGTCTTTGACGAGGTAACAAGTCCTCGCTCCGACATCTGCCGGCGGGTGGAATGGAAAGACGGGAGGTCCGCTCACACCTGCGTGGGGGACCGATTGGCAATCATCGCACCCGCACTGGGGCGTGAGGGTCTAAAGAGTGGGACGGGGAGGCTGAAAGAGGAGATTTTCCTGTAAATTTTTATCATTTTATAAGTGACTCGTTTTTATGTATTTTTGGTCCGAAATAAGACGATTAAAAATGAGATTCTTACCTCCATAAATCATTTGAATTTGTCATACACGCATTTGCTCATTCATGTAGTGTCAGTATGTGCCGAGTGAGTTACATGTAATACGTTAGCTGTTTTTAGTTAAGTGGGACTTTAAAGTCATTTTATCTTTGTTTTTAGTTGTCAACAATTTAACTACCCTATATATCATGCGAGATCAGTGCCGGACTATCACATCACAATCAGTCATCAGTTCTGTTTGCATAATGTCTTCGCTGAGGCGTCGTTTGTCACTTTTGTGGCGGCATGAACAGAACGTTTCGCTTGAGGTGGCTTCGTCGTCTATGCATATAAAGCAGACGCTTCACTATGGTACTTATGTAAGTTGTAGGATTGCCTCAGTGCGTAATGTCTATGGTTTTTAGGGTTCGTATGGCTGTCTGGTGCCCATCCAACATACCGCACAGGTCACGTCTCGTCAGTTCAAACTCTTTTCCATTTTGTCTAAGCTTTTTTAGCTTTTCCGCCTGTCCCTGGCGATCTTGGTTCCTGAGATTTTCTTCAAATTATTATGTGCCGGACTCCAGACTTTTGGATTACAGAGAAGCTGACAGAATCTGTTAGCAAGCTGTCAGCACACGGGATAATTCTGACCGATGTCGGTTTTATGGTGGCTCATATTCTACGGAACACAATGATTTTGGTTAACAAATAAATAGCTTGGTCTCAATACCGAAGAAAGTCGAAATAAATTTGCCAATAGATCTAGGGAATACTTATTTATTTTGTACCCGATGAGTCATCAAATGAATTTCCAGGGTCATGCTTCGTCGGTTATTTGTTAAATTATTTTGGTTTTGAAACAGCACATAGAAGGTTGAATTCAGTTTCAGGTGCTCAGTTGCCGTGTACGGGAGGGTGTCCAGTGAAAGGATCGTTCCGCAGTGTCAGTAATTAAGTTTTAAGCCCGGCTTGAAGTACCGGGCAGTAACCGCCGACAGAAAACGACCATTGAGAAAATTGACGGGTGAAACGGTGTTCCCGTTAGTTGCTCGGTTAGGTCATGTTATGACACCCAGGCGTCTGCCTTAATTGGATTTATGTTATGTTCCACACGTGAGGAGGAATGTATAAACCCCAGGGGTGCGGACGTGTACGAGAGCTCAGGTGTCATGCTGAGGAAGCCGTCTATGTTATGTTAGAAATGGGACTCAGGAGTGATCTTCAGTGAAGCTACACAACATGCTTTATTTACGCCATACTTATGGCTGTTTTATGTGTTATAAATATTAGGGTTTGTTGCACATAATGTTGAATCATGCGCTATTCAATCGGTATGTGGCTGCCACAATAAACTTGCACCCAAAACAGACATTCTGGTCATGCACTTTGGATTTATTTATGAAACCGCATATGCTTCATGCCTTACACGCAACATTATCCTTTGGGAATATAGATAAGGAAAACCATTAGACCTAGGGAGGCTCACGTCTAAATGAGACAATATGTCTAGTACTTGGATATAGGACATTTTCGGACAATGACGTTCCACGGGAGATTGCTTATCCACCACCAAGTATCCACCCCTGCACCTATAGCCGTATCGCTAGCTTCCTCGCTGATGCGACCCCACCCTTGACCTCGCAGGCTCCACCGGACCGCTCGCAGTGAAGCGAAGGTCCGGGCGACGGTGCCGAGGCGAGATCGTGTCACCTCTGACCTACCGTGTTAGCTGCTGATCGATGTTGACAGAGGAGGATGGTTGTGGCGAGCCGCTAATTTTCGCCACGTTTGCGCTCATTTGGAGCTTCTCCTCAGTTGAATAGCCTCAGGCAGGTAGCTAGATGAGCTCGACTTTGGCGCTGGTTTGGCCCTATATCCAGAGGAAGCTCTTGAAGCCGCTGTTTTGTAGAGTGATGCGTGCACAGCTATGACTGTCGTCACGAATCACGTGTGTGATAGTGGGCCATAAGCAGCTACTCACAAATCAAAGAACACTCACCGAGACACCTCACGTTATGACAGCTTGGTTCGTAATGAGCCTATCGACACGATTGATGAGACCTGTCGGGTCGACTGCGAACGCAGCCTCCAAGTGCCAAACAAATAAATCCTATCATTTCTCCGGAGATGGCAGACGCGGCTCGCTGAAAAGAGGCGATCTGGAGCGCAGTTTTGAGATGCCGAGAGACACCAAAGTAGGTACACGTAATTTGTTTTGAAATGGTGTTGCAATTTACCGGCAAGCTTACCCTTGACATGTAGGTGATCTTTACAAGTTTTAAAGGTGACATTTTTACAATCCAGCACGCTTTACAAGCTGTTCCGATGCTGTAAGCTAACCTTGAACTGTTGAAGACCAAACATAAAAGTTGAGCAGTGCGAGAGACTGACAACCATCCTGATGTTGCATGTAAACAAGTTGTTAGGCTCCGCTCCTTGTGCTTCAAAACACACAAAGCTAGAGGCGGTCTGAGGTGCTCTTCCTCGGTTTTGTGAAACGTTATACCACGTCTGTCACGGACTGAACATTCGTTCAGATGCGATGGGCACAGATAAATCATAATTAGAGCACGTCTATATCGTTGACATCAGCAGGTCGTGGATGTGAGTTTTCTCACACTGGGAACGTTCCTCCAAGCCCTGATCCTGGAGTTCGCGTCATGATCGCTCTCTCACGTGTGTCGCACATTGATACGAGGAAAGGGGGAACCGGCCATTGTGGGATGTCCGTGTCTGGCACCCGTGCTCGAGTCTCAACTTCATTGGCGAAAGCTGGCGAACTTGCATATACAAGCGTGCTTGTATCTTTGAATTGTAGCTATTGCTCCGACTTCAAATAAAACGGTCAGATGAAGTAGTACTTCAAGGTACTTCGGAAGTTTGCATTTCTTCAATATGCTTCAGCCAAATTTCATGTGTTTATCTGTTATTGTTTTGATTATTGTATTTTATTGTATGTTATTTTTTCTCTCTGCATTTTCCCGCAGTCTCCGGCCAATTGTGTTGATGCCGCGGATTAACTGACCGCCGTATTACGCTCGCCCCACCCTCCCAGCTAGGAGCTGCTCGGACGCGCGTATTGACCAGGTCCGACGGAGCCGGAGGATTATTGCAGGATCACCGGGCGTTTCTGATCCAATTGCCGTGCCGACCAGAAGATAGGGTGGGCGTTAATACCCTTCCGGACCGGGCCAGCCAGGTGCCGGACCCGGAGTCTGGGCCTGGTGGGGTGGGGTGGTCCCAGGCGTCTGGTGTGCAGAAGACAGTGATCGAAAAGGGGATTTTCTATTATCTATGATCCCCTTGTGGCTCGTCATACGTAAGCAGTTTAGTAGGCATGATTGGTAATGTCATCAGAATCTCAATCATTATGCTATTTCATGGATCCTGACCGTATAGAATTCAGGGAGCAAAATAGACTTGCTTGATCCATGAGTTCATGAAGACGTCAGTCATGTGTCTCCAACGCATAAAAATACCGAGACGATCTGTCATATAGCAGCTGTCAACACCTACTGGCAGCTACTTGTCATTGGCTGTCAAAATGATGACCGATATCTTGGCGAGTCATAGCTGCCACTAAAATTGTCCTCCGCCGTCTATTGGCGTGTCAGGGCAGTGTTAGCGCGGTCAAAACTGGGTGGGTCTGATAGATTTAACAGAAGCCCCGAGAGGAGACCAATTTGCTGTCCATCTGACCAATTTACACGATAATAACCCGCCGCTGCAGTCCACAATCTCGGTAGACCTCATTGACGACTGTTTATATTCCTCTGGGGACGTGAACAGCCCAGAAACTGGTGCCTGTATTAAATGAAACGTTATAAGATTATCCTGCATTTTGTGGCATTAATAAAGATCCTGTTCATCAAGATATGTAGACTGCTACGGCTTATGATGCGGCTTATTAATTTGAATTCACCACATTATGATAACGCTCCAGTGAACGCGTTTTGTGTTGGGAATCTAGAAACTGGTTCCAGTGGTTGT